CTCAGCAGGGAGTCTGCTTCTCCCTCTCCTGCTCCCCCCTCTTGTGCTCTGTCTCTAAAATAAATAAATAAAATCTTTAAAAAAAAAATTGTTCACAGGTGATTAAAAAAAAGAAGAAGAAACACACGTCCACACGAGGGCTTGTGCATGAATGTTCAGAGCAGCGTCAGTCACAATACCAAAAACAGCTCTGCCATCCATCACTGATGAGTGGACAAACGCCCCGTGATACACCCACATGATGGAATACTACTCGGCAGTAAAAAGGGATGATTTCCTGACACAGGCATGATCCTCAAAAACATTCCACTGACTGAAAGAAGCCCAACACAAAAGACCACATATTGTATGAGTCCATGTATATGACATTTCTAGAAAAGGCAAAACTTAGAGACAGAAAGCAGTCCAGTGGTGGCTAAGAGCTCGAAGTGGGCTTGGGCACTGTCCACAGATGGACCCGAGGGAACTTTCTGGGGGTGGTGAGGATGTTCTAGAACTGGATTGTGGAGATGGTTGCACAATTCTGTAAATTTACTAATACTCATCAAATGGTACATTTGGAATGGGTGAATTTTATGGTATGTCAGTTATATGTTGACAAATACCCGAAGTCCTTTGCTTTTCACAAGTCCATCCCAGAGCTTCCCTGCGTGCCAGGCTGGGAGTAGAGGGCACAGTCCCTCCACCTCCTCCGCCAGGCTCAGAACTGCTGAATCAGACACTCTGGTGGTGAAGGCCAGCAATTAGAGCTTGAACAACCCTCCAGGGTGGTGAGGACCTCGGTCTGCTGGAAGGTGGAACGGACAGCAGGCGGGCCGTCTGTGTTGAGTGCTCACTGCACGCAGCCCCCTGACAAGCCCCGAGTCATACCCTCCTCACAGCAACCCGGTGATGTCCCTGTTATTATCAACCGTGCCCCATTTTTTGCACAAAGAAACGAAGGTTCAGACGGGCTGAGACACTCGTCTGCTAATAAGGGGGCAGAGCTGGGATCTCTGACCTGAAACAGGCTTGCTCTATCACCCCGCCGACCTTGTGAGTGGGAACAAGATGCCCAGTGTCCGAAGGCCCAGAGAGGGGACAGAGACTTAAAATAAATACAGTCCCCTCAGGTTCTATCTTGGAA